CTTTCCCTCTGTTTGTTCTTTTTAAACTCCAATGATCAACATGAAGTTTAGTGGCAGGAAAAAGAAAGAGAGCTTATTCTCACGGATTTATTCAATTTGAATATAATTAGCCTCATCTATATTGGGCCGTTAAAGGGTCTTAAGGCCCATTACTTATTTATTGATGGGCATTATAGTAACAATCAGCCGGCGCTGATATCAGCATTCCTTCTTTTTTTTTTTTCCTCGCGACGATGTTGGGAATGGGATGGGTTGGTTCCGTCCCGCAGGAGACATCGCCAATTCGCCATAGCCGCAGCTTAGTGGTCGGACTATCTGCGATGGATTTCCCGCTTAAACCTTAACAGGTTGAATTTCTCTTCTTCTTTGCATTTTCTTCGCTTATATTCGTTTTCTTTCATCCAATTTCGTTTACTAGTCTCTTCCGACGAGCTTGTTCTCTTTTAGGGTTCTTGCCGGAATTTCTCCTGTTCGGATTCTAGTTGTTCCGAGAATTCTAGGTTCTCACTTTATTTATCCATAATTCATTATTACAATGCATAGTATGTCTCATGTAAGAACCGCGAATTTCTGTGCACTTTGTTTATGATTGGATGCAATTACGCTACACCCGGAGTTCTGAAATGTTTCTATGCATTTGGTCGAAACCATCATCTCTTCTCATCCTACCGAGGTCTGATTTGGTTACTATGTTTCCAAAGGACTTTTCTGTTCGAATGGTTTGTTTTGCGTTCTAGGGTTGATACATGAGTTTTTTTTTTCTAGGGTTATTTTTGCGGTATCGTTGCGTCTAGGAGTTGAACTCGGTTAAGAACACCTAAGGATCTCAATTTTTTTGAGGTTAGAGGTTGAAGAAACGTTCTCTAAAGAAGTTTAGTGATACGCCTAAAGCACAGTAATATCTCCGAAAAGATTGATGTTGCTCCATGTACGCCATGAATAGGCTCAATGATCACATCTAACATTTTGTTCCCATTATACAGAGTCGCTGCTGAGCAGGCGCTTCCTTTCTCACACGCTTCATAAGTCAGGTATGTCCTCTACCTTCTTCTGTATGGTTTACTGTGTGCAGTCGAAGTTCCAAGTTCTATTGGTAAAATGTTAGCCAGATTAGTCAACATATGTGGTGAATGATTTTCTAGATTCAGGACGACATTAGATTTGGTATTGATTTCTTCTACAGTAGAAATAGTTATAGAAGTGCATATCCATTAGCCAAATCCTGAATATGTAGGTGAATAGGATCTTGCCATGGATAACAAAACCCTTAAATCCATTAAAAAAAACAACAGTTGTAGGAATGAAATCGATCTAACATCGGCACACTATTATTATTACTTCATAGCTTCCGTCAAAAAGATCAGAGCACAGTAGCACTACATCTCATTATTTGGCTTGAGATGTTAAAACACAGTGCCAGTCCAATCTAGCTGCAGAACACATCCCCAAGAGATGTGCAGATTTAAACAGCTTCATCCAGGAGCCTTTGGTCGAAGTGCCAAACTCCTGCAAAAACAAGTAAAAATTTAGGAAAATGATAAGCAAAATGGCCTCTCCCACAATCATAGTCGCCTACTAAGTGTTTTTAGTCATACCATCGATCAAAGTGCAAACCAAAATATAGTTTTAAAAACATAGGAAAGGATGATTAGCGGTATCTGAGTCATACCGTGGCCTTTGCCGACCATCCTGAGCTGCGTGATGTAATCTGAGATCTTCTTGATGGCTTCAACCTATATTCATCAGGAGATAAAGAAACATCAATCAGGAAATCCTTCAATCCAAAAATTCATTGTTTTCCTTCTCTTAATCTTATAGAAGAGTGTGCCTACCTGTTCTCCTAGAAACTCGCTCTCAATGAAATCGGCCAACTGGGGATCATCGTTCTCTGTTGCCACCTGTTTCTCACCATTCAACTTAATTAGACACACACACACACCGCATTGATAGAATGACTTCTAAACTAGGTCCAGGGCTTAGACAGAATGTGACCAAATTTTGTGAACTGAAAGGGTAAGATTGGGAAACTTACGCTGTGAACGTTCAGGAGCTTCTGATTGGTAAGCTTCTCCAGGGATAGAGCCAACTCCATAGCTGAATTAGACAAAATCACAACCCCACCAAAAAAACAGATAACAATTAGTTTAAGAATGAGATTGGATTAGTTTACCATATAACGCATCTCCTTTCTCGGTATGCTCAAACTCTGAAACAGGCGGTACAATCGCGTGGAGCTTCACCCTCCCGCCTCTTTTGTTCTGTATAAACCATAATAAGGCTTTTTATCAGCTACAATTAATCACTCCCAAGCAGATACGCTTTCTTTTTACTACAAAAATCAACCTGATACTCCATCAGCTTCTCAGCGTGCTCCCTTTCTTCATCGCTTGCCTCCTTGAAAAATCTACCCACATAAAAAAAGGGGGTATGAATGGAGTAAGCCCTCTGTTGTAAATAGGAGGAATAGGAATAATAGCTCAAAATAAGGAGATTCGTACTTGGCGAGGCCCTTGAGTGCGACGTTATCCCTGTCGAAATACGCGTACATGGAGTGGTACACGTACGATACATTGTATTCCACACTACAAACACCACATCAGATTTGAGATTTCATCCCATAAGAGATGTAGGCCAAAATCAGTTTAAAAAAAGAGAGGGGCTTACTTGATCTGCTCGTTGAGGGCGGCTTCGCAAGCGTCGGCATATCTCTGGCGAGCGAGGGAGACTTGTGGAGTGATGGGAATAGCGAGTTCTGCCTTCTTCACCTCCTCGAACGGCTGGAACACCACTCCCGTCATCGGCATGTTGTTTGTGTCCACCGATGACCCAGCCGCTGCCACGACCACGGCCACGGCCTTCCTCCTCTGCAGCTGCATAGACACCGTCCTTACCCTATATGAGGATACGTCGGGGCCATTGGATGATCTCTGACCAGCCAGGTGTTTGGTTGTGAACGATGAAATTGCTCTCGAGGCCATTTCTTCTGGTTGTGGGGCTTGAAATGAAAATCTGAGTGTGTTTGGGGGCGGCGATGGATGATGGGCGTGTGGAGGAGGGACGAGGGGGGTCTAAATTGTGGGAGACGAGGGATTGTGAACCGCTGGATTGGATCCACGTGGACGGATGAGATAGGAACAGATGTAGGGGCGCGTGGTGGCCTCGTGCTCCGTCCAATGCCCCCCAGCCGCTGCCACGACCACGGCCACGGCCTTCCTCCTCTGCAGCTGCATAGACACCGTCCTTACCCTATATGAGGATACGTCGGGTCCATTGGATGATCTCTGACCAGCCAGGTGTTTGGTTGTGAACGATGAAATTGCTCTCGAGGCCATTTCTTCTGGTTGTGGGGCTTGAAATGAAAATCTGAGTGTGTTTGGGGGCGGCGATGGATGATGGGCGTGTGGAGGAGGGACGAGGGGGGTCTAAATTGTGGGAGACGAGGGATTGTGAACCGCTGGATTGGATCCACGTGGACGGATGAGATAGGAACAGATGTAGGGGCGCGTGGTGGCCTCGTGCTCCGTCCAATGGGATAGTGTGAACGTGCTTATATTCCATCCACGTCACCATCTCAGCATATCTGTCCAAAAAAAGCTTTTGTCTCTTTCCTTTTTCTGATTAGATTCTCCACCATACACATCGGTCTCACTCGCACCTTCCCATTGCGTCCCACGTACTCGCCCTCTTCCGTTTCCTGTACGGAAATAAATTTCTTTGATGGGAAAATATTTTCTGTGCGAAGAAAATTTATAATTGTGTTTTAAAAAGGATGATTCATTGTATATATTTCGATTTTTATTATAAATAGAAAAAACAGCCGAAAAATGTAAAGTAACAACTATACACAGTAACTATCGATTTTAGGTTATAGATTTCAAAAATATGTTTGTCACATCTGATTCAGGGTATAATATGAATAATTCATGATTTTTTTGCTTGAAAAAACTAGTCTTTTCCAATTCATAGATTGTATTTTTTGGAAAGTTATAAATTGGGTGCAGTAACATTTGCATCGAGATCAAGGCTGGGTAAACTCACCGCACGGTCAGCGCACCACGTATAGGTAGTCGTGTTCCTAACAAATATTCGGGGTGGATGTTTTGGTTAGATTCTTCGAAACTGAACCGAAAAATATGATATTTTTCTCGATCCGAACCATTCTAAATTTCCGAATGATATTATTTTTAGAAATCTAAATTTTCCGGAATCGAACCGAATCGAATTTTAAAAAACCCCGAAAAAACGAAAATTTTTAAAGAAAATCAATCTTTTTTTAATAAAAACCGGAACTGAACCGAACATAATATAAAAACCGATTGGTATCTATTTTTGTAAAATCGAAAAAACCGAACCGATGCATTTCCGTTCTGAATCCAAACCGATTTCCGAAACGTCCACCCTTGACAAATATACCCTTGACAAATATACAGCCTCAGCCCATCCTTGTTAACAGTAGTCTGTCAAAGGAAAAACCACTAAGTAAATTTACAGCCAAATCCATTTGGGAAGATTGTGACAATCCGACATACCTTTGTGATCCCACTTGACTCTTGTGCCTGATTTCTTTTTAATATAAATTAACCATTAAAAAAACATTTGTAAGAGGTCATATCATTAGATTGTGGACGCAACTAAAAATATATTGTTTTTGTTTCTTAAGGTTTAGATTAGTTGCTCGTAGGAGAGTTTATTTTTTAATTTCCGTCACTAGGTATATGTTTATATGTACAAATATCTTTTGAATTTATTCAAAGGTACTCAAATTTTTATGGATGCTTGACTTTTGAAACAGAGTGGAGTTTGAGCTTATCTGGATGGGAAAAAAAGGGTTACCTTTATAACATAATATAAGACATGAATTTTCAACGGAAACTTTTAGAAATTTCTTCTTATTTCAGAGTACTTTAACCCCGTTTGTTAGAATTTTTTTCAATGGAATAAGGGTTACAAGATTCTTTTTCAAAGTCGAAACGAAGGTTGCTTGCATACAAATAGTTTTTATGTAGTTTCCAAATAATGTTAATCATTATTATACACATAAAAAGAGATTTGGGAGTGCTAAATTGTGCATTGTAGTATGGCGAGTAGGAACATAAATCGTACTCTCGCGCATGAGAAGGTTTTTATAGTCCTTTGTCGTCATCCGAGATAATTACGGGTTGGCGGAGAAAGTGGGCATAAATTGGTAACCAGTAATGTCCAGTGACTTTTCATATAATTGTATGAATTAATTTAAGTTTAAATGTAATAGATTGATTCTATTTTACTTTTAAAAAAAAAAGGAATGATGGATGTGACGTGGCAGATCATAAGGGAATATTTAGTAATAATAAGTGAATATGATGAAACGAGAAGTCTGAGAGAGAGGATTTCTTCCCGGTCGCGGTTGAAGAGATCTGTCTCAGATCTAAGATGGATCAGATATTGAACAAAGTCGGATCTTACTGGATCGGCCAGAAGGCTAACAAGCAGCTCGACTCCGTCGGCGACGACATCAATGTACTACTCTTCTCTCCTTTCCTGTCTTCCTGATTTAGAAATTGTCCTCAATTGATCATCCATCCTTCCTTGTTTCCTCCTATTCCGGTTCATCGGTCTATTGTTTCTGCGTATTACCGATCTGATTGTGTATTTAACCCGATGGATGATGGATGGACCTGTAGGATCTGCATTAGATCTCTGCCATTTAATTCTAATAGCGAGTATGGCGTTGTTTTGGTATGTTTATTTGGGTTTCTGCGGATGCTGTGGCTTTTGTTGGTCTTATTAGGTGAATTCGTCCGTGGAAGGAACCATTTATCTATACGTATTTGTAACCTTTTCAATTCCCAGATTCCTATGACTGTATCTTATCTAACACATTGCAAGATGTAGTTTAAAAGCGTTTTGTTCTTGGCTATTGCCTGCCTATACTACAATCTCTTCTCCATTCTAGCATGGAAGGAGGAGCAAAATGATAGTCTTGTATCTTTCTTTTTCCGTGATATCTTTTTTTTTCTTTTCTAGTCACTGTCGACGAGCATTGAAGGGGGAGCGAAATGGTTGGTCAACAAAATCAAAGGTTTGTACTTTTGCATTACTTGTGTTGCTTTAAGTTGAGGACAGCCGAATCAGTTGGAATTTCCAACTCCAAATTGTGAAAAGTTCTGTTTCTTTCTTTGTGAAAAAGGAAAAATGCAGAAGCCATTGGCGGAGCTGCTCAAGGAGTACGGCTTGCCCGTCGGGATTTTCCCACGAGATGCGACCAACTACGAGTTCAACGAACAGACGGGGAAACTAACTGTTTTCATCCCAACGATGTGTGAAGTTGGATACAAAGACTCATCGGTTCTGAGATTTAACACGACGGTAACGGGGTATCTGGAGAAAGGGAAGGTGGGGGAAGTGGAAGGGATGAAGACAAAGGTAATGATATGGGTGAAAGTGACATGTATCTCTGCGGATTCATCAAAGGTCCATTTCACAGCGGGTATGAAGAAAAGTCGAAGCAGAGATGCTTACGAGGTTCTTAGAGATGGCGTCGAGGTCCTCAAATTCTGAAACACTTCACTATCCATTTTCCTTCAACCTCTTGTTGTCTTTTACATATATGGGTGATGCCACCAGTTTCGAGTTACTCCTCTTTGTGTTGTTGATGGATATTGTGGCAAATTGACGAGTCTTCCTCCTGCCTTGTATTTTTGGTTAACTATATCCATATTATTTTATTATTTTATAATTTTATTTTTTGTTAAAAATGTTTTTACCCTATCTAGATTTTCAAATTGTTGGTTATTCTCCACAAACTTTAAAAATTTGTTGTTTTACCAAGACATTTGCTATTTCAGATTATTTACTAATGTAGACTATATTTTCTTACTATGCCTATTTTTAGCATGACATTTTTGTTTAAACTGGGTTAAATAATTTATAAAAATAATAAAGTAAAGATCTCTCGCGCATATACCACTCGCACATGTAGCGCGTGATGCTCACGTCCCCAAAATCTCTGGACTATAACCCACCAAAATGAGCCATTTCGCTAAAAACGGAAAAATGAGCGCGTGAGTCTGAGTTTTAGGGTCTCTTCCTTTTTTTTTTGTTTGCTCGCCTCTTTCTCTCCAACTTTTTTTTTTAATTTTTTTTTTCATGTAATTTTTGCACGAGCTACAAACCAACTCTTGAATTTCTTTTACGTTTTTTTTGTTTTTTATTTTCTTCTTAATTTGTCTTTTTACCTCACGTATTTGGTTTGAAACGATATTATATTTTAAGAAAAAACATCAGTATATTTTAGTTTTTTTTTAATCACGCCTCAATCTTTAGGCAATTTTATCTCATATAAATTGTTATAAAAATCATATCTATTATATTATTAACTCTCGATTTCTGACAAATTTTTTGAATATTATATATAAATAATTTCAATGCTTTTAGAAAAATACAATGTTATCAATCCATTTAATACATGGAAGCTTCTCTCTCAGCGGCCGAATCTTCCAGGCATACTTGAGGGTTCATCATATCACACTCGTAAATATTCAAAGTTTGGATACGCCACTTCTCACAAGGTTTGGATACCCAAACAATCGTGTTGTTTTGCGGTTGGCCTTATTCGTCCCCTAAACCCTTTGAAACCAAGGCTTGCACAAAAGTATTTCATCTGTACCAAAAAGAAATCACCATATTTGTCCAAATTTTGTTTTATATAGTTTGTACAATGTAGGTAGATAGCAATACATGATCGATATAAACCAGGAAAATCAATACCCTGACCAAGAGAAGATTTTTAACACCGCCAGTCGGACGGTTATCTCCTCAGGCTTATTATATTTACAATCAGCCACTGATTATAAATAAAACCCTCTGCTGAAGCTTTTCAATCACCTGAGACAGAAAAAGAATCAACCAAAACTGTCAGTTTCATAACGTAACCAACGACAGTGGAACAGAGTTTTGAAGATAATAAAAACACACCGAGGTAGAGAACTTAGCCCATCTTTGGACATTGTCACGGGCAGTTCTAAGGTGGGAAGGCGAATCGAAATTCATGAAGTAGATTGAATTCTCTGTGGCTTCAGCTACCCACAGATTGTTCATATTGTCCTTTGGCCTTTTTATGAGATTGCAGAACCCCACCTGCCAAAAGTATTGAATTCTCTCTTTCAGCTCTCTTTTCATTTTTTTTGTACAACCCTTCTATGTATGAAAGAAAGATTCTAATCCCACTAATCAATGAGTTCATAATGTGCTTATTCCTTTATGCAAATCTCCTCACTTTATGAATTGAACACACGCCCAAATAACTATATCTTACGTACTGTGGAACCGACAAGATTATAGTTGATGTGTGGAAGCGAAACGTCACCCATATCTGGCGAGCTGAAGCTTATAGCCAGAAGACTATTCGATATTTCTTCTGACTGTGAATGTGGACACGACCCATCTGCCACAAACACCCACTGCTTTTTTTGCTGACCATCTGTGCAAGCTTCTGATAGATGTATGGGTTAGGTAGATTCATTGAATCTGGACTATAGTTAGTATGGGTTGTTTGGGTTGTTACTATTAGTTAGTTAGTAGTCTTGGCTATGAGTAGTTATAAATACAGATTAGATTGGGGGAAAAGGATTTACGCAGAAATTGGAGAAAGGGTTAGGGTTTGTTTGGGGAATGAGAGTTGGGATCCTCTCATAAAACAAGATCATCCAAAGTTGTATTCAGGTTTTCGGTGAGGAATAAAGGCTCGATTGGTGCTGGAAAGTTGAGTTTCAGATTCTGAACCTTAACAGATTGGTATCAGAGCCCGTCTTCAATGGGAAATGGCAGAAACCCATGAGCAACGAATGGCGCAGTGGGACAGAGTAGAGGAAATGTTGTCGAAGCTGTGTCGGTGGATGGAGGCCGATTGCGATCGTTGGAATTCGACAACCTGGTCGAATCCGGCACCAGCAACGGTAGCCGACAAGAAGCAGACAAATCGCGATCCAGATCCGCAGATCGATTGCGATCAAGCACCGAAGAACCTTCCGGAGGTTCGAGAGGTGAATCCGCAGCCGAAAGAGGAAGGCGATGCGCAGCAACAGGAGCGATTCATCGGAAAAGGCAGTTCCCACCTCAAGGTGATGCCGATCGCGTTCGTCGACCGCGTACAGGCTAATCACGACCAGAACATGCCGATCGAGGACTTGCCGACCGATCGAAACAAAGTCCCAAAGGATCCAACAGCTGCCAGATTCATGTGATGGGAGAATACATAACAAAGCTCTTTCAGACCGATTCATCGGGAAGACTGATTCGCACATGAAGAAGACGACAATTCGCTGTCCAAAATCTGCTTAAGCTCCACTAACCATTCCAAGTCTGCCAAAAGTTGTTTTTGATTCGGAGCTGGCTGGAACTCGTTTCCAATGGCCTGCTTCCGTAATTTCTGATATGTCTTGCTTGCCCAACGGATATGCGTGTCTTCCTCCTCCATTCTATACGAGTACCACAACGATCATATAGTAAGAGTCTAAAAATTTCCCAATCTCGATACATCCCAATTTTTTTCTGGCCATCGAACAACATCAGAGCTTCCCCACCCAAATCTGTAGATTCTAGGTAAAACATCTCCTTGTCACTACAACCACCAAATCCAAAGTACCTTTCAGTTTTGACATCCCATTCCAAAATGAAGCTGTCATCGAACACCGGAATTGTCGTCTTCTTCATGTGCGAATCAGTCTTCCCGATGAATCGGTCTGAAAGAGCTTTGTTATGTATTCTCCCATCACATGAATCTGGCAGCTGTTGGATCCTTTGGGACTTTGTTTCGATCGGTCGGCAAGTCCTCGATCGGCATGTTCTGGTCGTGATTAGCCTGTACGCGGTCCCAAAAGTTGTTTTTGATTCGGAGCTGGCTGGAACTCGTTTCCAATGGCCTGCTTCCGTAATTTCTGATATGTCTTGCTTGCCCAATCTGACTGCTTGTTCAATCCAAACTGCAGAAATATCCCTTTCTCTGACTGAGACACCAGCCCACTAAGAATTTCATCATCACATGTCTTCCTCCTCCGTTCTATACGAGTACCACAACGATCATATAGTAAGAGTCTAAAAATTTCCCAATCTCGATACATCCCAATTTTTTTCTGGCCATCGAACAACATCAGAGCTTCCCCACCCAAATCTGTAGATTCTAGGTAAAACATCTCCTTGTCACTACAACCACCAAATCCAAAGTACCTTTCAGTTTTGACATCCCATTCCAAAATGAAGCTGTCATCGAACACCGGAATTGTCGTCTTCTTCATGTGCGAATCAGTCTTCCCGATGAATCGGTCTGAAAGAGCTTTGTTATGTATTCTCCCATCACATGAATCTGGAAAACCAGCAGCTGTTGGATCCTTTGGGACTTTGTTTCGATCGGTCGGCAAGTCCTCGATCGGCATGTTCTGGTCGTGATTAGCCTGTACGCGGTCGACGAACGCGATCGGCATCACCTTGAGGTGGGAACTGCCTTTTCCGATGAATCGCTCCTGTTGCTGCGCATCGCCTTCCTCTTTCGGCTGCGGATTCACCTCTTGAACCTCCAGAAGGTTCTTCGGTGCTTGATCGCAATCGATCTGCGGATCTGGATCACGATTTGTCTGCTTCTTGTCGGCTACCGTTGCTGGTGCCGGATTCGACGCCTCAGTTTCAGCTTGTCCTCAAGCTGATGATCTGGAATTCGTTCGTTCAAATCTTCGTCGACCGCTAACTTTCCGAGCGTAGTATAATGGCTGTCCAAAATCTGCTTAAGCTCCACTAACCATTCCAAGTCTGCCAAAAGTTGTTTTTGATTCGGAGCTGGCTGGTTGTTTGGGTTGTTACTATTAGTTAGTTAGTAGTCTTGGCTATGAGTAGTTATAAATACAGATTAGATTGGGGGAAAAGGATTTACGCAGAAATTGGAGAAAGGGTTAGGGTTTGTTTGGGGAATGAGAGTTGGGATCCTCTCATAAAACAAGATCATCCAAAGTTGTATTCAGGTTTTCGGTGAGGAATAAAGGCTCGATTGGTGCTGGAAAGTTGAGTTTCAGATTCTGAACCTTAACAGATTGGTATCAGAGCCCGTCTTCAATCGGAAATGGCAGAAACCCATGAGCAACGAATGGCGCAGTGGGACAGAGTAGAGGAAATGTTGTCGAAGCTGTGTCGGTGGATGGAGGCCGATTGCGATCGTTGGAATTCGACAACCTGGTCGAATCCGGCACCAGCCACGGTAGCCGACAAGAAGCAGACAAATCGTGATCCAGATCCGCAGATCGATTGCGATCAAGCACCGAAGAACCTTCTGGAGGTTCAAGAGGTGAATCCGCAGCCGAAAGAGGAAGGCGATGCGCAGCAACAGGAGCGATTCATCGGAAAAGGCAGTTC